CACGCATGTATTTAATAATAGAGGATATCATATGAGTAAAGGTTTAATACTGCATTTATTGACCAAATTGTATAAAATAATATTATGTGAGCCTCTGATCTGAAAGATCGAGAATGTTTAGAGTAAGTTATCAATTCGTAATTTTTCTCTATGCTTTTTGCATATATTTCACGAGGTCTCTATTTTTATCGGATTCTTTTATTCAAACCAGCTTCTTTACCTTTGTGACGTTAGAACTGTCATTGTAGTTATAATTTTGCAGTCTTTCATAAGCGTTGATTGTATAAATTGAGCATAAAAGAGGTCTTTTAGCGTTCGAGAAAAAATGTTTTTTGAATATACAGACTGAATTTGGTACAAAATAATTGATTTATGATTACTTTTTGGTAAATACCATTACAACAATCAATCTGTTGAAATATAAATTATCTATTTAAGCGTGATAACTAAAAAGATCAGCCTAATGTAAGTTTTTTTAATATTGCATACTTGTCACATTACAAGTCTTGTAAGTATTTTTTGTATTAGAATTACTTTCTTACCAGGTAAGCATTAGTGACAGCATATTTTTGTTATTTAATATGTGCTCCCTCTCTCTTTTCACATTGCATACAATAAGTATAATTATGCAAACTTAAATGATTTACAATACATCCTGAACGTTCGGCCATTTTTCAAAATGTCGGACAATTCCTGTTGGTGTGTAATCTAGTGCAGATTTTTCAACTAAATATGCCTCATTAAATTATATTATCGTCATGTCAAAATGTTACAAAATGTTTCCTCAACAAACAAAAATGTTAATTTAAATTATTAATAAAATTCCATTTTTTGCATGACGGATCTACGTTTATATGAATAGATAGAAAGAAAATAGAAAAAAGAAGATAGATAGAAAACGCATAAGAGGTTCTGAATGAGGAACATAAATTTACAAGTACAAATGTTGCTGCAATGCAGCAATTGAGAAGCTCCGCGCAAAAAATGCGCTTATTACAGATATCGTACCAAATCATTTGTACACACAAGTCATTTTCTATTTAGATAAGGACTAGTGTACATTATTCCGGATGCTTTGTAAATCATTTAAATTGTTATAATTATACTTACCGTATGCACTGTCCATGGCAGAGGGACAAGATATAAAATTTAAAAACAAACGCTTTCACTGATGCCTACCTGGTAAATAATAATTCCAATACAAACAAGACTTACAAGACTTGTCAATGTAATGTGACATGACAGTAGTGCAATATTGTTCTGTTTGTGTCCCCACTGTAGTCAGTAATATTAGATGATAAAAATATCAAAGAATGTACATTTCCGTTTTCACCTATAATGCTACACACTTTCTACAAATATCAACAACTAATCATTGTAGGATATATTAAAATCTACATGTAAATAAGCCAAATCGACTTTATTTTTTAAAATGTCCGTTACCTGTTTCGCGCCAAATGGTATATCATGTTAAACAAGTAAGGCATTGATGCAAAGCATCAAATGGCGTCCAAGCAAGAAATGCAGCAAGTGACGATGAACTAGTAGACATCTGATGACCAGATATTCTTTTATTTTTTTCAATGGTTAATTGGATTTTACTAGAATTGTACATGTATATCATAGATGAACGGGCGGACGAAAGACATTGTTCATCATGAACTTTGGTCGGCTTGCTAAAAATAAAAATATTAAATGTATTGTCTTTGAAACATACAAAACAGTAGTCAAATTGAACAAAGTCTGTTTTTTTATTATTATTGTAACAAATAAACAAACAGCATATAAAATAGTAACAAAAGAGACTAATATTGTAATATAACAGGCATTGTTTTGTAAAATGAAGAAACGTGGTTTCTTTTGATGCCTTGGACTTAAGATACAGTAGCTATATTTTAAGTCTCAGATAAATACTGAAAGAGGAACACACACTGGAATGAAAAATTTGGGATATATTTCTAAAAGACCAAATTCAGGAATTTTTTGTTATACGTGTTAACAAAAACAATGGTACATTGAAATCATAAATGAATTTACATAGCACGTTGATATATTGAAACATAATTTATCAATGGAAGACTGTTACCTGTATTTTAGACAGGTATCATAGGGTATGAGGAAGTTCACTAACATCATGTTCATGCGAGTCAAAGATATAAAAGCTACTTGACATAGGTTATAAATAAAGAGCTATTGTTAATTGATTTATTGGGAGATGAATCTACTATTTTGATGAATTGCTTCAAAATCCTCGTCTGACCCACGTGTGTGTTTACATTCCTATCACTAAACCGATAACACCTCGACGAAAGTTTCTGTTGTTAAAATACATGTTGCAGTATTCGGAAAGTTAACATTCCACTCAAACCACCATAAAACCGATCGCCTTCAAACATATGAAAACAACTTCTAATAGCAAAAATTCGGGACATCAGATTCGATTTAAATAATCAGGGGAGCTATTAATTTACTTTAATTTTTTTCGATAAGTTATAAAGGGTGCAATTTATGGTTGAATATTTTTGCATTTCATTTTGTAGATTTTCGGACTTTCTCAATGTTAAGGTCATATCTATTTATAGCTTTGTTCCCGTTCTCCTTCATTAATATGACATGCTGCGAATCACCGAAGGGGAGACCAATATATGACTTAACATAATAGAAATCGAAAGGAAATCTTGCTTCCGAATTTATTTTTATCTGTATATCGAAGGGAATAAATGATAAAAATCGGCTCCATGGACAAAAAATAGTCAAAAAGACCCCAACAAAATAACGCAATAGAAGACAATACAAAATGAAATTTTAAATTACGCAGTTAAATAAAACGAAAGAAAACTGATTTGAAATTCTACAACGAGGGTTGTCCAAAAAATTCGTGCACTGCAGTTATTGTCGTGAGAGTTATTGATAGAAAAACATTAATTATATATCACTTGGAGGGGAGATATATAACAAAAGAAAAAAAACGTGTGACCGGCATGTCGTGAAAACGAATCGTCATACAGTCACCTTGGTAACTTATTAACGGCGCACGATAAACAATTGGGTTAGTTCATTACTTTGATGCATGACGGTATTCTTGAAACACTACATATTAACGTAAAAAGTGTGTGTACGTATTCCTAACGTCACTAGAAAATATGACGTCATTTGCCCTATTGTAAACATTTGGGTGTGGTCGTCAATACTGTAATTACGTGAAAATGTCAGTCGCTAAACGTCTGGAAATACGGACGATCATTAAATTTAAATTTGGGCAAGCGGGACAACTTCAGTGTCACGAAGGCTGGTTTTTAAATGGTACAAACGCTCTGTAGAAGAGAGAGAGAGAGAGAGAGAGAGAGAGAGAAGAGAGAGAAGAGAGAGAGAGAGAGAGAGAGGGAGGGAGGGAGGGAGAGAGAGAGAGAGAGAGAGAGAGAGAGAGAGAGAGAGAGAGAGAGAGAGAGAGAGAGAGAGAGAGAGGAAGAGAGAGAGAGAGAGTCAGTAGACAATGACAACCGGTCAGGCAGACGTCCGTCCGTAATTCCGGCGCATGTGGCGAGAGTTGTCCAATATATTCCTGCACTGGTGGAATATGTTACATGTACGTTGCATAAAAACAATAAAAACTACACAATACTTTGCATCAGTCATTCCTCTATTGACAGTAGTAAGACAAATTGTAACATTAAAAGAAAATACCACTTTACAAGCAACAAACAATTAATACAATTAATACAATTACAGTAATGAACTAACCCAATTTTTTGACGTGCGCCGGTATTACGTTACTAAGGTAACTCAATGACCATTCTTTCACATGACACAACGGTAACTCGGATTTTTCTTTTGTTTTCTTATTTGAGACAGATTTCTCCTTCAAGTGATATATAATTCATTTGTTTTTATTATTGCTATCACAAAAATAACTGCAGTGCACGAATTTTTTGGACAACCCTCGTATATAACCCTTCAACCGCGTTAATACGAAACAACCAAAATATGAGAGAGCAGATACAATATTTTTCATGCGACTTAAACAATACCATTTTTTGTTGCCACATTATTGCGACAGAAAATAAAACAAATAAAATATGAAAAATAAAGATAACAACTAAGCGATTAATATTTGTATTATTCTATTTAATTTACCTTTTAAAAATGTCTTTGATCTTGCCGAATCAAAATAAACGAGGTGTCATGAATCTGCTTTTCTTTCTCAGACCACTATGTTTTACGCTAGATAATTGCATAACAAACAAATATCGCACCAAACCGATTCACAATATGCGGTAATATTCTCTAATACCCTTTTATGACTCAGTGACATCTGTTGACAAATATCTTTCTATACAAGAAATGTCTGGTATCTGTCCAAACTATCAGTAAAATTAAAGGCATTTAAGGCATGGCGGATTTGGAACTTATTTACCGTACGTACAGTGGGAGGTGTATTTAATTTATTATTATTATTATTATTATTACTATTATTATTATTATTATTATTATTATAGTAATAGTAATAATGATAATAATAATAATAAAAATAAACTTACTATTATTATTATTATCATTATTATTATGTCAGTGTCACGCTGCCTATGTATTCGTGTATAAAATTCCATTAAAATAAAGATTAAAATTAAAGAAATTTAAACTTAAAGGCTTTTTTATCATTACATATTCTATATGTGTTTCGTTCACTTTACCAGTTAAATAATAGTTGCTATCATTTTTATGGTGGCGATCGACATATATTATGTTTCTGTCATGAATTTATATTATAACAATAATGGTAATATAATTCTAGATAGCAAGTGCTTAAAGTGACATTTTGCCCATCCAAGGGTATATAGTGAGTAAATAGGTGAATATCAAAATATGTTATATTTTGCAAAAATTCCTTTTAATTTAATAATCAACTTCACATTAACAAGATAAATATACCTTCATATTGCACATTAGGATTTTACTAAACTTTCATAAAGGGTGTATCGGATATTTTGCAGTGTCTGGACCTGATAGCTGTTCACGACCAGAAACAAGCAGATATTGAAGAATACGACTGACGTATCCGTCCGCTGGTTAGAATTTCCACATCTTTAAACGCTTTGCTGGAAATCTAGACTTGAGGTAATAGACGAGGTTTTGCATTCGTTTTATTTGGTGATATTTTCAGTTATTTCTGTTTATCAAATCATCTTAAATATTTATGGTTTTACAAAGCTGTACAAAACGTGTTTTTACGTGTTTTCACGTAATTATGAAATACTAATAATTAATGACAATGCTCATTTCGTTCTTATTATAGTTGACCTCTATAGAACTGATCGTGCACATGTATTAATACATGAAAATGAGTATCATATATAGCATCAATTACAAAGTTATCACATGTATTGCAAGTAATTCGCTTTTTTAATTTTTGAATGAAAATTATCCTTAAAAATACAGGTTGATTGTCAATAAAGCAGGAGTTGTAAAAATCTTAAATTTGAGAATTAAAAACTCATTAAAGTCAGTGCATTTCATTTTTTCCCTTCTTTATAATCGTGTAATGATAATAAACGTTCATGGTAATTATGTTTTATTATATAAGTTTCAAGCAGACTTTCGTTTACATTTTTAACAAAATTCATTTATGTATTATGTATTAACTATAGACTTATTGCACATTGTGGTTAAATGTAATTGTTCTTTAGACAATTGCGTCTTATAGTTTTTAATACAAGCTTGTTGATCTTTGTTAAATATGAGTTTCACGATAAATATCTTAAACAGTCGTACTGTGCACTTTGTGTATACTGTAACAATTAAAGTGCATTTATAAGTTTACGTTTCAATTGCATATATTACTTAAAGTATAGACCAACTGGTAACATATCAGGTTTCTGAAATATGTGTTCTCAGTAAAATATGATGTTTATTATTATAAAATGGACAATACATACAATTATATCTCTTGAACTGTAAAATTGTCCAGCTCTTTGAATGTGTATGAATCATAAATGTTAAAAGGAGTGATAGAATAAAAGTGGTATATTCTATTTCATCTCATTTCCATTAAGTTGAAATTTTCTAATAGATAACTGACATTGAAAGACTTATCGCACACCCTCTGCAAAATGACGCAATTCATCTTATTCGATATTTAAACATTTTAATAAAACAAACACTTAAAAGCAGCAGAGATTAATCATTTATGTCTGTCATTTTGATTCTTTCTAAACAAGCATGATATATTAAACTGTGGTTCGTTAGACGTTAAACTACTAACATTATAAACAAACTTTACAATGAGCAGTATTTGTACTACTTAAATACTTTCATTCTATAATTTGGCATTTCAACAATTTGAATTGACTTTGAAAAAAGTTTTATTGTCATAAATAATTTTATAAATAAATTTGTTAATGTTAAAAATCCTCGTAATAAGGTCCAACTAAGACCAGTCATGAAACTGAAACCTTATTTAGACTATATAAAACGTTATTTGAATGAACAGTATCCTGATAATTCCTTTTAATAACTTATTTGAACTTAAATCTCAAAAGTTAGTTTAGATATATGACTTTAATAGACTCTAACAAGCTTTTATAATTTCCTAATGATTTGATAATGTTTTGATAGGGTTTTTATAATTGCTAATGAAGTGTTCTGTAATTCCTTATTGAACATATTAAACGACTCTTGCGCTTCGAACTCCTTGTTAGGATTTAAGAAAGTCAAAATATGGCTTTTATAACACTGTAATACCCTCTTAAATTTCTTAGGTTGGAGTGTGCGAAATATTTCATTCTTACTTAAACGTAAGTTAGTCCTCATTAGGCTTTCCGATATTTAACAAAAACAACTTCACCATGTGATGTATTTGTTGAAGATATAAAATAAACAATACGTGTGTATGGTAGTACATAATTACTTAGCAGAAAGTTGTAATATCCCCTGTAATATATAAAAGCATTTCAAATCCTAATTGACCAAGGGCGGTACTTTATCGTTGAACATGTTGCAATAGTGATTGCAGTAGGAACATCCTCGGCTCTTATTCCTAAGGTTAACATACAATGCATCAATTTTTACTGCTGAAGCCAAAGCTATAGATTAAGCATTGTCATACATAGAACAGCATATCCATGATAAATTTGTGATATTTTTTGACTCGCTTTCTGTTTTAATATTCATTAAAATAAAAAATCTGACAATATCATGATAAGGAAACTTCTTTTACGAGTTCATGATATACTTAAAACAAAATCTGTTAAATAATGTCGGATTCCAAGTCATGTAGGTATACGAGGAAATGAAAAAGAAGATGCGTTAGCTAAACAATCATTAAATTTTCAAAAAACTGACTTATTGTTACATGCTTGTGATCATAGACCGGCTATAAATAAACTCGTATTATCTGAATGGAAAGAAAATTGGGACAATGCCGTTTTTAATAAACTTCACGATATAAACCCATCTTTTGATATGTCACCATCTCTATCTCTGTCAAACCGCCATGATCAAACAGTTTTTCTTCGATGCCGAATCGGACACTAAAATTTCCCACTCTTATCTCCTCACGAATGACAATGTCCCTTTCTGTGTAGCTTGTAATGAAAATTTGACTGTCAAACATTTTCTTCTTAAATGTCATGATTTTTCACAGGCCCGTAAAAGATTTTATTGTGTAAATTCACTCAAAGGCAGCAAAAGAAAAAAACCTCTGATCACCATTCGCAGCTTGGATTCGAAACCTTATGTAATATTTGAAAATTGACTCAAAATATACGTTAGTTATAAGATATCTTACTTTCATTCTTAAGGTGTTGGCAAGGATGATATTCTGACTTTGCTGAAAAGTTGCTTTTTTCCGATCAGTTGTGTAGTTGTAGTTATAATTATATTTAACACATAGATTTTAGAGCCGATTTTTTAGATTAATAATAATAATGAAGTAAAAAATAAACGCTCGTTTAATTTGACTCCACTGCTTAATATTTGATGCAGTATCTGACTTGTTATAAACACTCTCAATTAGTGTTTAAATTATTGATTTCGTTTTTGTTTCATAACAGCATCTATGTACACACAATTAAGAACATATTATTTTGCGTAAAATATCTGACATTATTTTACATGATTCATGGTTCTATACTGCATTAATTATATAAAATATTAACTTAATGCAAAAACGGCCAAAGTTCAGGACTTATTTTGTTTTCTTAAAGGCATATTATGCCTTCAACTAATAAATGTTTTCTTCTTTAGAAAGGGACCATTTTTTATAATATAAGAGTATGCTTGATGCTTGTAAAATGAAGAAGGTATCGATTTATGTGAAATTATTCGTCATAAAAGTAGCAAAATATAAAAAAGTAGTGTTTTGACTTACATAAAAATATCTAATGATCTTAACTGTATTATTTGCCAAAATGCTTCAGGTAATTGAAAAATGAGTAACTATTTAGAACCTATTAAGGTACTCACAAAATAGAGACTTTTGAGAAATAAAAATAAAAGCTTTTTTGAAATATGATGGGTATCTAATATTCAGATAACATGATAAATCCTGAAGTAAATAATATTAACGTTTTTATCTTTAGCCGGGGGAAGTTATCTTCATCAGCATACACCAAAAGCTAGGAATAGCACCAAATGTTTATGATTGAATTATGAAATAGGCCTAATACAAAAATGTAAAAACACTGTTTTGTCAACTCTACAATTAATCTTAATCAACTAATTATGTCTTTAAATGGATAAATAAACTTTAAATTATGATTAAATGATGTACGAAATACAAATATCTGGTACATTTGACATGGTCGTACTAAAAGTTATATACATATATCAGTTACATCAAGATACGCAAACACAAACAGCAGTTATCTAACATTAATCCCGTAACCCTTTACCAATGCGTGCATGCAATACTTTGGTATAAATTTCGTTTCGCAAATAAGAGGATTCCTATTGAAACAAGAAGATTGAATAGAAGCATTGTTTACAAGAAAGGAAAAGTGAATTTTGTATCAGTGTAATTCATTTTAAACGTTGGCTCTTTAATATCTAGGTGATTTTGTTTAGATAAGATATTTTAAATTTATGATACCAAGTATTACTTACTCAATCGTTATCGTCTCTATAATGACAACCGTCATAGAAATTTAATTGTGCACTTGCCTTGTGTCGACCAAATTTCTGAGCGGTGACCGACTTCAATTATACGAGGGGTTATCCAAAAATTCGTGGACTTTCTTTGTTGAGTAAAATATATTTGAGATATTAATTTGAAATTCTTACACTCTTTAGAAGAATAAGTAACGAATAAACACAGAAAAAATCATGCGAGTAGTATCTAACATTACAACAATATTTAATTTTACATAAACACATGGCGACAGCGGCGCACTCCAAAACGTTACTGACGTCAACGTCATAATATTAACGTACAACTTGTGGTTCAACGTTACGCAGTCAATGACGGTTACTGCTTCTCAAAGTACTATCCATCACTAAATTTTTTATGCCACTTTAACGCTAATGATCGTGAACTTTTCTTTTCAAAGTTCGTCTGTTGATTTTTATCATATGTTTTGTAGGTGTCATTTCCAAATTACAACAAAAATTACAATCGTTTATGACTGTGCGATTTTCTAATTACCGCGGGTCTGTCATTTTCCCGTTGTAAACAATAAAGGCATCTAGCGTTTCTAGCGATATCAACAAAATAAAAACGGAAATGATGCCCAGTATTTTAAAAAAAATACTTAAATGACATCAAAGAAAAAACATGCGATGGGTTTTCTACATTAATTTATTAGTTTTTTTTAGCAAGAAATATAGTTACGATGACTTAATGCGCATGTCTACCGTGTGCCGGGTGCCGTGTATGTGCTTATATAAAAGCAATATAAAATCATTATTTACTGACACAATTAACTGTTCCTTTCAAAATGTGTTGATAATATTCTATAATGTATGCTGATAAATTTTCATAACAATACACGTTGACTTTCAAAAGATATTTAAAAAGTCCACAAATTTTAGGATAACCCCTCGTATGTTCTACAAAAGTTGCACCAGAGCTTGACGAAACAACAATTAATGCTATGGCCCTTATCAGAGAGGAGAAATATTTA